GACTTTGTGGTTGAGTTCTATACCTTAAACAGATTAAGGACTTTCTTGGAGGTAATTAGGTAAAGAGTGATTTGAATAGAAAAGAATATGTATTTATTTAATTAAATTGTCACTTATTATCAGTTACAAGAACTCAAACAAGAATAAAGAAATGAAAAATATAGCAATCGACAGAGGAAAAAAAAATGGGGGGTTGGAAAAAGCTATTACTAATCTACTCATAAAATGCTAAGTTAAGCTACTCCTAGATAAACTCTTTGCTAGTGTGGTTGATGATTGAGATGTCCTTCTTTGTATCTCTCTAGGCTTATTTATAGGCTCAACCACATGAGAGAAATAGATAACCTAAGCCCATAATTTCCTCAATAAGCCCATGATTTCCTCAACATAATACCTATCCCATCTTTGATAGGAACCATTTTGCAGATTTTGTGCTTGATTTGATCTTGGCTCATTGATCTCAATAACTAACTTTCAAATTGCTCAATTACTAACTTTCTAGCCCTCCATTTAACATGTCATCATGCCACGTCCTTAGCATGTCTGTCATGCCATGTTAGTATGCCTGTCGACAAAAATAATAATAATAAAAATAAATGTAGCCAAGGTTATTCTTAAAAATAGTCTATGGTCTTAATCGATAGATCATAATCGAACTTGGCCATAATCAACAGGCCATATTTGACAAAAAAATAAAATGTGGTGCAAACAATGCCCCCCTCATTTAAATGGATTGAAAAATGAAATCCCATTAAATGATCTATAAGACGTTTTACCACAATCGACAAAAAATATTTTATGGTGCAAACAATTCGAATTCTTGAAGAGTTATATTATATCCATAGTTATATTATATCTATAGTAATTTTTAATCTATCGCTATTGATTTGTGAACATTCCATCTTTGGCTCTGCCGACTGACATAACAAAGAGTCACATCCCTTATTTTTAAAATAAAACAAGTCTATGTTAGCCACATTTTGGCTAATTAAAGATAATTCACTACATGTGGCATTTTTTAACCATTGTTATTTTTCAAATCATGTCATGAAAATTAATTTTTGGTGTGATTCACAAATCCAAAGTGGATGTTCGATCTCAAAACTCACATAATTAAATGTTATGAAAAATTTATAAATTTTGACACTTTGTACAATGTCAAAAAATTCACATTCAATAAACGTAGCTTCATAATTTTCAGCCACCTTTGGCTTAACATCATGCCCTCTAAGTTCATAATTTTTGGCCATCTTTGATTTAAAATCATGTCTTCAAGTGAATTTTTACCATCATTTTGTAATATTTTTTAACATTTTTTAAGAGAAAGGGTTGTTTTTCTTTTTTAGCCATTAATGGTTTTTCACTTTTTGCCACGTTTGGCAAAACATCATGTCCCCCAAATGAACCTTTACCATTAGAATTATCAATATTTTATGAGAGAAGGGGTTGTTTTTTAAAAAAATTCTCCAAAGTCATATTATTTTTATGATTCGGTGTACTAACCCTTCGAGCCACATATCTAGGCTCTTTATGAATGATTAGCTCTTCAAAAATATATGTATTAACCGTATGAGCCACATTATTTTCATATCTTAATTTTTCATTAGCTATTATGCCTTCTAATTTTTTCTTCCAATATCGAATTTCTTCATCAATTAGAGAAATTTGGCCTTTAAGTCGACAATTTTTTTTATCACAGTAATTTAAATCTCTTTGTATAAAATAATACGGAGATAACGAAATTATTTGAAATTTTTGCCTATAAAGAGAATTAATTTCTTTTTTTGGGGCCAAGATTTCACTCCCACACCAATAAATTTCATCATCACAATGCCAAATAATTATTTTCACATCATTTGTCATGCCATTATGTTGGCAATAAGAAGTAGAACCACTACCATCACACTGACAATTTTCAAAACATGAAGTATTCCACTGATAATCTGTATCCATGGAAACACTGTCACTCTATTGATAGTTTGCATCCATGGGTTCACAAGATGTAAACATACCTGTTGAAGGCATGATTCCATAAGGATAAGTTTGCTTCTTCACCATCATCACTCCAAGTTAGAATGGTCCCACTGGGCGTGCCAATTTATGTTGGTAAAAATTCGGTTTGGGCCCAATCGATAGTGATTAATCGACAAGCTTCAACCAATTTTAATAAATACAAAAAGATCAGACTTGTGTAATTTTAATAAATACATTTAGAAACTAATTTATTTGTGTAAGTTTTTTAATTTTTTAATGTTAAATATTATTATGGGAGAGTTACTCATAAATCCTAAATGTTGTACTTGTGTTCCATTTGGACCCAGATTATTACTTGTGATCCATTTGGTCCTCTCTGTTGTGTAAAAGATACAAGTGCCATTGGTTTGACTTGTTCAGCGTGATAGTTGTATGCCTTAAATTGGTTGTGTGTTGGTTGTTTGTGATACATGTTAATCATGTGCCACTTTATGTAAGGGTTTATCCGTTGTATGCTGAACACGTGCCACGTTATGCACGTGAATGGGTGACACACAACACAAAAGTGCACTAAGGCTTTTTATACTTTTACGTTGTTGGGTGGTGTATTGCACGTGACACACAACCACGTTGGAGTGTCATATTTGGGAAAAAATACACTAAAGCGTTTTTTAATTTTTTTAGAGTGTTACATTATATCTGTCATGTTGAAGTGTCATATTTGAGAAAAGTACACTAAAAAGTTTTTAATTTTTTTAGTGTCACATCAACATGTCATGTTGGAGTGTTACATGTCACATTTGGAAAAAAATATAATATAGAGTTTTTATTTTTTTAGAGTGTCATATCATACCCGTCACGTTGTCACATTTGAGAAAAATATATTAAGGAGCTTTTATTTTTTTTAGAGTGTCACATCATACCCGCCACATTATCACATTTAGGAAAGTACACTAAGAAGTTTTTAATTTTTTTGGAGTGTCACATTATACTCGCCACATTGTCACATTTGGGAAAAGTACACTAAAGAGTTTTTAATTTTTTTGGAGTGTCACATTAATACCTGCCACATTGGAGTATCACATCATACTTGTCACATTAATAAAAACGTATAGTTGTCCACCAAAACACTATCAAAATTTTAAAAAATAATAATAAAATCAGACTACACGGAAAGAAACTCTTCACTAATAGGACTTAATAGATTAATAGAAAAAATTTGGGATTAATTGGAGTACTTATTTGTGAGATGAGATTTATTAGTAAATATCTCTATTATTATATTTAAATACAAGAAAATATGAATAAAATATGAAAAATTAGTGCATGTTCATATTTATTTATATTTAGTAATTTCTTTACAAATATTTTAATTTTTAATTATATTTAGATTGGATATACATCTAAAAAGTATTATATATAATATGACGAAATTTCACTAGCACTAATCATTAAGAACAAAAAAATATGAAATGAAAATCAATCAAAAATATGAAAAACCCAAAATTGAAAAATAGTTTTCAAAAATTAAAAAAGAACGTGGTTGTTATTTGGAATTTTGACAGCGTACGTGGATTATTAAAATACCACGCAAAATAATACAATTTTTAAAATCTAAACAATGAGAAAGTGCATAGAAATAACTTGAGAATTACTAAGATGTAGTACGAAATCAGATGTGTCTCCCTCTATGTAGATTCGAATAGATGCATACAACTCTAAGATTTAACCCAAAATATTCAGAGCATTTTTGTGTAGATTTGAACAAATGAATACAATTCTAAGATTCAACCCAAAATATTCACAAAATATCCACAGCGGTCTAATCTACGATGAACAATTATAAATAATATACACAACAATATGGAAGTAGATAGAGGAAATAACCAAATACACAACACAAAATTCTATTAAAGCTCATAAAAAATTTAAAAAAATTCAGAAAATATTTTTTTCGAATATATAAAAATTAATATGTGTCAATTACCAATAAAATAAAATAAAATTTACTGTTCCGGTCAACCAGCTGGACGTTTGGGAGAACTCCGGGTACACGAATTTTCAAACGCGCGTGTGAAAATGTTTTTTAAAAATTATAAACAAATGCCGCACTCAAACTAAAAGGTAGAATCATGATTTAAAAGTTATACCAAACACAACCTTTATAATTCAATCATCAATTCAAAAAATAGGGAGTTCTAGGACTTTTGGAAGGAGAGGAATAGAAAATTGATCGATTTTTAGTGTTAACTAAGTAAATAAATGTTAATGTTAATGTTAAGAAGAAAAAAAAAACAGTTAATATATATAGGATTTTTTATGACTTTTGTGCATGATACAGTGGTTGGATTTAAATCAAAAACCTTTGAGAGGGTATTTTCAAGATACGTAAAAAGTAGAAAACACTCAGATAATGATAATAATAATAGGTAGATAAAGCAAATAGAATTCATATAGTTGAAAACTAAATATAAATATTAAGTACTATAACAAGTCTCCTTATAGTATAAATAAAAGTTAAAATATTTATAAAATACAATACATTTTTCACTAATTTCAATACATTTTTATTAAAATTAGTATACTTTTTAATATTGTTACATATTTTTAAAAAACTTTTTATACACTTTCTAACATTAAACAATATCTATGAAATAAATAAGCAAATAAAATGAAACTGAATGGAATAAGCATTCCACATTCCATTAAATATTCATTCGCATAATTAGTTAATTAAAATATATATTACAAATGGAATTATTATTTACCCTAAGTTAAACATTACAAATAGAATTATTATTTACCCTAAGTTTAAAGAATGACAATTTTATTTCAATCCACTCTATTTAATTCCAATAATTCCAATGAATCAAATACAACATTGAGATATAGCACACATTTCTTGATGGGCTGGGTTTGATAAGCATTTCAGCCCATGAAAATAAGAGCATATTCTCTTCCCTGGATTGTCATAAATGTGGAAATAGCAGATTTCTTCTTCTCTTTTTGCTCTTTCCACCATATCATATATATATACACATCTTCATCAACAACCATCTCTGCAACAAACAGAGAGAGAGAGAGAGAGAGAGAGAGAGAGACACGGAACCAAAACGATGGCCGATCAGATAGCGAGAGGAGAAGAATTGGAGAAGAAAGCAGAGAAGAAGCTCAACGGCTGGGGTCTCTTCAGCTCCAAATACGAAGATGCCGCTGATTTGTTCGATAAAGCCGCCAATTCCTTCAAACTCGCCAAATCATGTAACTTTTCTCACTCTTTTCTTTTCATTCATCGATTGTGCCTTTTCATTCATCGATGCGATCGCGAAAAGTCAAAAATCTGTATCGTGTTTTGTCGATTTTGATTTGATTTAGGGCTTATTTCGATTGATTTCTTATGGTAATTTTGAAGTCTGTTATTGAATTAGAGTTGGTTGATTAGTTGATCAGAATGATAATCTGATTGAGTGCTTGATTGTATGTGCATTTGCAATTGTTTGACTTGGTTTCAACTTTTGTCAACGAAGTTGAACAGTAAAATTTGTATTATTTTGGGATAGCATAAGTGGAGAGAAAAAAAAATGGTGTTCATTCAATGGAAGAATAAATAAAAGTTGTTCATTTTTTATTTTTATCATTTTTAATCTGGAAATTAGGTTACAATTTAGGATGACATACATCTAGGTATAATTACATATGTTTGTATGGGTCTAGTAGTCTATTATTTATCAACAAATGAATAGATTGGTACTTGGAAATTAAAAAGGGGAAATTTCATATCAGTGGATATTTTGAAAAATAATTGCAAACACATGGTAAACTTTATAAACATTGATTATTAAAATCATAAACTTTTCTATGAATACGTAATAATTTTATAGAATTACCACTGAATAGTAATTTCCCCAATTAAAAATATATTGACTTCTTGATGAGTATTGCAGACTATTCCATGGTTCATGAGCTTAGAAAATGAATATTGGTTGCATTTTGATGCACGGATTTAATATGAATGGATTTGGTTGTAATCATGCAAGGATCATGTCTAAAATTACACTGTATGTAACTCACATTTAGATATCAAGGGGATAGACAGAAGGATTTAGGCAATTTTTTAGAGAAACTGCATAACACACTAAGTGGATCATCAATTATATATTAAGTTTATAACAAAGATGGATCACCTTTATCCTACTCATAAAGTTTTCCGCTACATTATTAGTTGGGAAAACCACGTGACAATGTCCATGTTATGTGTCAATACTGTATTTATTTAATGGGTATTGACACATGAGATGGTAAATAAGATGTGATAGGAAAATGCACATGATATTCCCAAACCACATTATGTGGACAATGTCACATAATACTTCAAAACCACAAAAAATATTACCAGCTTAAAAAATGCCGTTGTTGGAAAACTATTACTAATAAAAAATATTACCGTTGCGCAAATACAACTGATAAACAAATATTGTAGTATAGGAAAAAGAAAGAATGGAAGAACAAATATGTTGAAGAAAAGTAGTTCAAAAAGAGACCCTTGCTGGAGTGTGTACTAAAAAAATGGCTAGCTAAAATAATAAAGTGCAGTTTTAGCTTGCTATTTTGACTATCATTGTCTTATGTGTAAATTACAAAAGATAAGGTTAAAAGTTTTATTTCAAATTTACAAGAAGGATTCTAATTGTATGAGGATTGTAATAAAACATTTCTACTTCAATCCTCTTAAATCCAACTCCAATTACTAACTCTCCCCTGTATTTACAAATTTAACTCCCAAGCCCATTCATTTGAAATATGTGCTTTTAATAATTCTCTTACTATGAGTACCCTAATATTTTGGAAGCTATATGCTTTATATATATTGAGAATATTTTCAATTGCATCAATACTTGAAGGATCACAATCATTAAAGAATTTGGCTATTGGTTAAAATTAGATTCATCAACATTATGTGCCAGTATGTTGGGTTTGTAATCTTTTATGAGATATGGATTCTCAGGGGATCAAGCTGGATCAGCTTATGTGAAGTTAGCAAACTGTTATATAAAGGTCAGTGCTTCATCTTACAGATCATAGGCCATTCTATTTCTACGATTAATTTGCTCATCTTATCTTAATGTAAGCCTATATGACACTATTGCGTATGTGTTTATAGTCGGATAGCAAACATGAAGCTGCTAGTGCTTATGCTGATGCTGCTCATTGTTATAAGAAGACAAATACTAAAGGTGTGTCTTTTATTTACTTCTCCATTTAATGATTAATTTAGAAATTTTCAGACCAATTTGGCTTATTTTGCAGAAGCAGTGTTCTATTACCATATAAATATTACCACCTACAAGCCCTGTTTGATGGCACAATTAAGTGCATTATTAAAAGATTTCACAGTAAGTGCATTTGGCAATTGAATGCACCATCACCTGAAAGTTAATTGAGAATGGCTTTTATTTGAAGTCAAAGAAACTTGATTTATCACTATATGTTGAATAATTTGTTATCAGAATCTTACGATTTGTGATTCGATTCGCGATTCAATTCGTAATTTTTGCAAATCAATACAAATCTATGGGAGAATTTATTTTGGAAGTAAATCTTTTGTGAATTGCATAATTCACAATTCGATTCACTTTTTATGATTCATGCAATTCTTGAAACTATCATGCCCGACATATTTTGTTTTTTCTTTGTTTTTTTCTTTCTTTCCTTTTTATTTTTTATAGTTAAAATGATATAATACAACTTCTAATAGTGTTTAGTACAAAAATAACAGATATATATATATACATAATTTGTTGTTATTTTGGAGATCAGGAAATTTTTAATAGGATCTAATTAGATTTAGTAAGACCCAATATGGTTTTAACATTTTCTTCCCATTTTCTTTTCTTTAAAAAATCATAATGTATCTTCTAAAGATGTTTAATGTTAAAGTAACTTGCAATATGAATTATCTATTGCTATTTTACCAAAAAAAATATATTTCAATTTTGCATGGGTGAGGTTGGTTAATCCTAATGGTTCTGCAAGTTCTTTCTTAAATAAACAAAAATATACTTTTTTGAACAATAAGCATATGCCTCTTTTAAAATGCTTTAGGTTTTAAAATAAAAGATTCTAATTTATACTTTCTTATGTATGCTTATGAAATATAAACATTATTGTTAAGTTATTGTTACTTGAAAATTAAGAGTTTGTCTTTGTTTACTTTCTTTATTAAGAATGGTTGATAAACAGTATCTAAAAAGGGGAAAAGGTAAGATGGTGATCTTGCATGGGAACTTGTGTTAACTTCTTATCTATTAGACCACATGATCATCATTCAAAACAACATTTTTATTAATCTGAGTCTAAATATTTTATATTTAGAAGATAAATTTAACATCCAAGCATGTATATATATTTTTCTAAGTAATTTAGAAAAAGTGACTAAATCTTTACAATTCATGATTTGATTTGATTTGATTCACGATTTGACAACTATGGTTTGAATACACTCAATGGACTGTAGTTATCATTTTCATTCTCACTCAACTAACACAATTATTTTAAAATTTCAAATTCAAAAATTTAGTACTTAAATATTTCATCACTAGAAATTCAATACTAAAAAAATTTAGTACTTAATTTTCAGATTTACCAAATAACCCCCAAGTATCATGCTTGTTCAATCATAAATCATAATAAACAATGTTGTTCTTTATTAGCAAACAACAGAGTGATGGATTACTTACTCGTCATAAATGTTTTATGCATTTCAGAGTCCATATCTTGTCTAGAGCAAGCAGCTAATTTTTTTAAGGAGAATGGAAAGCTAAATATGTCTGCAAGATATTACAAGGTACAATCTCTGCTAGTTTGTCAATAAACAATGATGCACTTGAGGCAGTTCTTGAAAGTGATTACTTGCTTATTCATAGTCTTACATCTTTGACCTCTACTATTTGTTACAACAATAGTCAGAAGCACGGATAGTGACACGACATGGATAGGACACAGACACGAGGACACACAAAATTTTAAAAAATGTAGGACATGACACGTTGGGGACAGGTGCAAAACATATAATTTTAATATTTATTTTATATCAAATATTTAATTTTATCAAATTTATCAACCTTAGATATGTCATTTTAATAAAAAAAATTAAAAATTTTAATTTTTTTGGGAAAAAATGGTCCTCAGCGTGTCCCTAACGTGTTGTCCTCAATTTGTCTTCAACGTGTCCGTAGCATGTCTCCATGTCTCAAGTGTTCTAGCGTGTCTGATTCTCTACAGTGTGCCCGACACGTGTCTGGTGCGTGTCTGTGTCTGACATGTTTCGGACACTAGTATGTCACCTCCAAAGAGGTGTCCGTGCTTCATAGATAGTCATTCATACTATTCTATTGAGGTTGATGTTTATTCAGAGTATGCCTATATGACCATTGCATGTGATGGATAATAAAATTATAATGACAATGACTTGGAACTTTTTTTTTGTCATGTGCAGGAAATTGCTGAATTATGTGAGGCTGAACAGAACTTTGAGCAAGCTATTGATTACTATGAAAGAGCAGCTGATCTTTTCGACAGTGAAGAAGTAACAACTTCTGCGAATCAGTGCAAGCAGAAAATTGCACAATTTGCTGCTCAACTAGAACAGTAAGCTTGTACATCTTATGAGGCTACATTACTCTTTAAACCTTTGTGCTGCAAAATTCAGTCTGGAGTGCATGTATCTTCGATCTGTTTTAACCTCTTTTACTTTGCATAGGAATTCATTGCAAAATTTAATTTATTAGGATAGGAAGCTACCATTTTTCAATGCAGTTCATCATCAGTCCTTTAAATTTATATTAATTTACTAATACATGTGCATATAGAAAATTTTCACATATATTTTCTGCAGAAGTTATGCACATCTGTGTACATTTTTCTGGACACACTTTGATATAATCATTGTTAAGTAGGATCTCCTTGGAGGCTGTTCGAATTGCTCATATGGATTAACTCAGCCTGCTTGTGATTGTTTTTGTCTTTAATGATCCATTTGTTTGGGCGGAAAATAATGAAAAACATTTTATACGGAAAACCTTTTCTAGAAAATGTTTTTTGGAGATAACATTTTTCTATGTTTGGGTGGTGGTGGTGGTGAAACGAAGGTGGAGTGGCATGGTGGTCGGCCGGCGGTGGTGGTGATAGTGACAGTGATGGTGGCTTTGGCCGTCGTGATGGTGGTGTGGTGGTAGAAGTGAGAGTGGTGGTGGTAGTGTGGTGATGTTGGTAAGACTTTAGTCGAGAAAACTATTTCCGCCTTGTAAAAGTAGAAAACATTTTCTGCCCATATAGGCTTGTTTTTTGTTGATTATAGAAAATGTTTTCTGTTGACTTTTGTTTTTCATTATACAAGACACCAGAAAATATGGAAAACGTTTTTCAGAAACTGTTTTCCACCCAAACAAACGGAGCGTAAATTAATGATAACTCATAGTTCAGTATGATGGTCTTTTCTTCCAATGATGCCAGCAATTAACTCACATTCATCAAGTTGCTTGGTTTATAGTTTTACAGACAATTATTTGGGACAAGTAGTCTAGCTTGAAAACAAATAATCATATCAATATCAATGATCTAGTTTACTCTTTTTCAGATTTAGATATATACAAGTATATATTTCAAGGGCATAGCTTAGTAATATGTAGAAGATTATGAACCGCTGGTTAAATTAATAGAACAATTGAAATGAAATTTGAAAACAGCTGCTATGAAAACATTATCATAGCTTTACAATGTGGTAAAATTTTGACATTCTTGAGAAAGAATGAAAAGTGTGTTGAGACGGATTTGATATGCTCCCAATATTTCTCCAGATACCAGAAATCGATTGAGATTTATGAATTCATAGCACAGAAGTCACTGAACAATAATTTGCTGAAATATGGAGTTAAAGGACATCTTCTTAACGCTGGCATTTGCCAACTCTGTAAAGGCAAAGGGGATGTCGTTGCAATTAGCAATGCATTAGAGCGATATCAGGTTTCAACGTTGCTTTTTTCCATCATATTGAATTTAACCTTATTGCTTGTATTATAGTTTAACAACGAATGAATTTGCAGGATATGGACCCAACTTTTTCTGGAACACGAGAGTACAGATTGTTGGCGGTATGTATAGCTTGTAGACTCAGTTGTTAGTTTTGCATCTGATTTCTCTGGTAGATTCCACTTTGATGATGAAATTCATTATATAGTTGTCAGGAAATGGATTTGATGGAATCTAGTGAACTTCTTATCTCATTGGATTCTTTCATATGAAGTGCATATTTTGATGGTTTTCTATCAACAACCTAAGCTATCTCCTTTCTTAGGTTGTAATATAACAGAAATTAAGCTTAACATGGAACATTGCTTCTCTTATGGCAGGACTTGGCTGATGCAATTGATCAGGAAGATGTTGCAAAGTTCACTGATGCCGTGAAGGAATTTGATAGCATGACCCAGCTGGTAAGTTGCATTTCTGATACTATTTAAGTAGGTTTGGGATTTGATTATCTGCGACTGGCCATAACTGCGATCCTAGCTTTTAGTTTGTCTAGAATTCATTTCATCGCCTATAGATGTCTTTATACCAGCTGTCATACTTCACTATGGTCAGAAGAGCTTTGAGTGGTTTTAGATCTTGAAAATAGCACTTTAGTAGGATTAAACTCTTGTTGAATGTGAAGTTTGTACTGATTAGACCATATCAAAGACCAACAGTGAGGAGAAATATCAACTCAGATTTACCATTGTTGATTGATACTATCTGAGCATAACATTCTTGAAAGGTTTCCTCATAATTAATTGCAGAATTTTGGCTGCTGAAACAATGGTCTCACAAGTTTTGATAATTTACGGTGGTATTAATGCATGTAAAGAGATCAAGGTATGGATTGGTTCAGAAATGGAAGTGAAAATAAATGGTTAGCAGTTTCACTTTGTCGTTATTAACTATTAAAACTCACCTTCCCCTTTCAGGGTAAAAACACACACTGTTATATACCAAAATGAAATAAGTCAAATATCAACGAAGAAAATATTATAACACGATGAAGAAAGACAAAGAAAGTGTTTTCGTATTAATTCGTTGTTTATACTTCCTCTCTAGAAACACTTAGGTCTTGTTTGGTTTGTGTTTTGAGATATTATTTCAAAAATAATTTTCTGGAGAGTTTAGAAAATTAGAAAATTTGTTTGGTTGTATATTTTGAAAATAGTTTTATAGCTTTGGAGTTTGGGATGATTTGATATTTTTCTTGTAGTTGAATAGATAGGTGTGAAAGAAAAAGGGATTGAGAAGGAGAGAGGAGGGAGAAAAAGTGATTAATTGATGTGTTGTAATCTTATAGAGAGAGAAGTGATTTTGATATTTTATTTATCTATAAATTTTCAACCAAACATGTTTTTGGGAATTTTTTCTCCGAAAACATGTTTTGAGAGACAAACCAAGCATGCCTTAATTGGGATTTGATTATCTGCGACTGGCCATAACTGCAATCCTAGCTTTTAGTTTGTCTAGAATTCATTTCATCGTCTATAGATGTCTTTATACCAGCTGTCATACTTCACTATGGTCAGAAGAGCTTTGAGTGGTTTTAGATCTTGAAAATAGCACTTTAGTAGGATTAAACTCTTGTTGAATGTGAAGTTTGTACTGATTAGACCATATCAAAGACCAACAGTGAGGAGAAATATCAACTCAGATTTACCATTGTTGATTGATACTATCTGAGCATAACATTCTTGAAAGGCTTCCTTATAATTAATTGCAGAATTTTGGCTGCTGAAACAATGGTCTCACAAGTTTTGATAATTTACGGTGGTATTAATGCATGTAAAGAGATCAAGGTATGGATTGGTTCAGAAATGGAAGTGAAAATAAATGGTTAGCAGTTTCACTTTGTTGTTATTAACTATTAAAACTCACCTTCCCTTTTCAGGGTAAAAACACACTCTGTTATATGCCAAAATGAAATAAGTCAAATATCAACGAAGAAAATATTATAACACAATGAAGAAAGACAAAGAAAGTGTTTTCGTATTAATTTGTTGTTTATACTTCCTCTCTAGAAACACTTAGGTCTTGTTTGGTTTGTGTTTTGAGATATTATTTCAAAAATAATTTTCTGGAGAGAGTTTAGAAAATTAGAAAATTTGTTTGGTTGTATATTTTGAAAATAGTTTTATAGTTTTGGAGCTTTGGAGTTTGGGATGATTTGATATTTTTCTTGTAGTTGAATAGATAGGTGTGAAAGAAAAAGTGATTGAGAAGGAGAGATGAGGGAGAAAAAGTGATTAATTGATGTGTTGTAGTCTTATAGAGAGAAAAGTGATTTTGATATCTTATTTATCTATAAATTTTCAACCAAACATGTTTTTGAGAATTTTTTCTCCGAAAACATGTTTTGAGAGACAAACCAAGCATGCCTTAATTTTAGGGATAAAAATGCACTCTATGTATGGTGTACCAAGTATGAAATGTTTTTTTTTTTTTTTTTTTGTTGTTGTATATTTGATTCTTTATTATTCGTAATTATGGATAACTAGATCCAAGACTGATAACCTGTTAAATTCCTAACCCTTTCTTCTTTTATTTTTTATTTTTTAATTTGCTACTAGAGGGTTGCCATGTGTCATGCATGTGGTGCATGTGCATTCTCATGATCAAAACTCTAGGGATAAGATGGAGTGAGAGAGAGAGAGAGAGAGAGAGAACACGGGGTAGTTTTTGGGGAGTGAGACATGGATTACTTAATTTAACCTACATGTCCTTTTTGTGAGAAAATAACAAGGATATTGATGGAAAATCAAAAGATTTGTCTGCTAAGTGTCCTAAAAATAGGACTACTGCTTTGCTTTCGCTGATAATATAGATGAGTTCTTAACTGTTACTAATAGTAAAAGCTTTGTATAGCTTGTTTCTCCTATATATGTTTCTATGCATCTAGTGTGTGATGCTCTCTGAGTCCTGCTCTTCGTCCAAGGGTTTTTTGATTTGTTTTGCTTGAAATGCAGAAAAGATGGAGAATTAATGGCAAGTTCTTCACAGTCCTATGTAGCATGTTTTTTGACCCTTAAACCCCATTGTATCATCTTTCAATAGTACTGAAGCTTCTCTGACAACCTTAGCAGCCATATTTAATTTGCAAACATGGCTTTTAATTTTTGTATCATCTTCCAAGAGTTCCCCAGTTACTCCATCCTAGCAGGCTTAGTTTGATTTTTGCGAACACACTAGTTCTGGATCAATTTCGAGGACAATAATATGATCTTCTGATATCAGCATGCAATTTGAAATTTTGAAATAAGTTTAGTTGAAAGGAGGATGCTAAGAAGGATCATAGGCCTGGATAGTTGAAAGGAGGATGCTAAGAAGGATCATAGGCCTGGAAAGAAATGATATAATAAGAAGAAATTAATGCATTATTGAGAAGTTAGAGGGGCCACCTATTGGTGAAAAGGTTTGAAAAATGGTTTTGCCAAGTGATTCAATTTGAGTTGAATGTCATTGAGGATGACATCAAAGCAATAGACTTACAAGGAAATGATATTAAGAGAGATGAATGGAAAAATTGATTCATCTAATCAAGAAAAATGTATTTTGTTTGCATTAAGCTTTGTGAAATTGAATTTGTTCTCTGTTGCAGTTGACTTGGTAGTTTATGTGACACGCTTTCACCTCCTTATTTTCTTTATTTAATTTGTGGGTTTCTTGCTCATTTCCATTTACACTCAAGCCACTTGTTTTTTTGATCAAGTTGAACTGATGTTGATTAATCAATATTTGGATGCTATGTTCTATTTAATTAGTGAAATAGTGTGATTTCTTATTTTGTTTCCACACATTTCACTCCACAGGATGCTTGGAAAACGACCCTTCTGTTGAGAGTTAAGGAAGCTCTGAAGGCAAAAGAACTAGAGGAGGATGACCTTACTTAAACCTGTTTTTACCTCGATGCTGTCTCATTTGCATTTTTATGATGATGATTTTACTGAGTGTTTGTGTCTGATTATATTCTTTGTTTATTTTGTGTGTACTAAATTTGTTGTTGACCTGAATGAATATGCTTGCCTTCATAAGCATGCCTGAGATTGTAATGGATACATGGTTTTCTTTATCTAACTGAGGTTGATAAATGTACTTGTATGTTGAACATGTCGAAGAATTCCCATCTTAAGTCTCTTCCTTCCTTAATTTTTGTAGCATCAAAGCTCTAATCTGTCTAATTGATTCACAACAAAATTTCCGCACTATATTAGTTTGTCAGATAGCTCGCTAAAGTTTTTTATGTTGTGTTTGGTTGGGAGATTTGAGAAGAGATTTGGAGAAGGAAAGAGAAAATGTGTGAAATTAGGTGAAATGTATGCATATTTTATTCAAATTTTACTTTTTTTTCTTTCTGTTTCTAAATTCCTTTCTAAATCTCCTAACTAAACACAACATTAGTGTTTGGGCTTTCTGATATTCTTATGTAGTAATTTTTGGACATCTTGTCAGTAAATTTGGTGCAGTTGATATTCTCAACCTCCATTTTGTTGTTAATAGGAGTTTCGTGTTGTTAATAGGAGTTTCGTACACTGGATTAGGTGGCATTGTGATCTTGTAGTTCCCTTAAGCTGAATTGAGCTGTTGACTTCGGTAAAGATATAAAGAAAAGTGGACCCTGTAAGACAAACAGAGCAGAACAGGGGGCGTTTTTTAGCTGGCAGCCAAGTGCATGTGGGAAGCCAAAACAACCATTACACATGTTATGACATTATTAGTGATTTTACTTTTTATATAAATTATAAATATTTAATATTTTTAAAATTATGTTACATTATTTGTTAGTATATTAATGGGTGTATTAATTGGTGCATATAGGTCCTGTTTGATAGAGCTGTGGGAAAGTGCTTGCTTATAACTTATGCCTAAACAACTTATAGTTTATAACTATGAACATAAGTTGATTTTCGACTTATAAATTAAACATCTCCTGTCTACTCAAAGAATAAGCTGATTTTTGACTTCCAAAAAGTTATAAGTTATAAGCTCTAAGCTAAACCAAATCCATCAAAATAGTTTAAATTAAGCTGAAAGCTGAAATAAGCAGCTTTTAAGTTGCACCAAATAGGCACATTGTATTATTTCTATTACCTTTATATTGAGTGACAACATGCCTAAAAATTGGATGAATGTGAGCCTATGATGCTGCTGGTTGAGAAGAGAATAGGTTTATGAGTACAAAAATCAGTCACAAAATCAGATTAGATTTTTTAAATGTGAATTTCACTAATATTTATTTTAAATTCCTGTTTATAAATATGTTGCCTTTGATTTTGTAATTAGTTTATGTGTTGATAGACCGCATGAACCTCTAGAGATGTGAAGTTTAGACAAGTGGCGCATGTGCTTGGTTCGAACTTACCAGTCAATAAAGTGCCGTTTTGGGAACAAAAGAAAGTCACGTTTTTGTCAAAAGTCCAAAAACGCAAGTGGTAAAAACTCAACAAAATTAATTTGGGGAGTTATAAAAAATAAGTGTGAAATTATAAATTAGGGCCTATAACAAAAAAATAAAAATAATAATTTCTTATATTGGGTAAGGGTATTTTGATCATTTTAATTTGATTTGACATCATAAACAAATATTAAACTAAAAAGCCAAAAGTCAACTTTTTATCAACTTCTCAAATCACTTTCCAAAAAACTAAAAAATTTGGTAAAAAACCAAGAGTCAACTTTTTACCAACTTAAAAAGTCAAAAACCAATTTTTTACCACCTTTCAAAAACTTAAATCCAAATGATATAAAAGCCTCTGAGCTACAAATTCCCAGCGTCCATGGCTTGAAGTCCTCGTGCTCTTCACAATAGAGTGGCGTGTAAGACCGGCTCTGAGATTTTCATTCGCGAAATTTTAGGCTAAATCTTAAAATTGAGGCTCTATATATATTATATATAATAATAATTATTATTTATTTAAAATTTTAGCTTGAAATGGTGTACAATATAGATTACAATAAGTGTAATAAAATCACACGTAAATAAATGTGATCTATAAATAAATATATATATTTAAATTATAATGAGTATTAGTATTTGTGTAAGTATCACCACAAAAAAAAAGTTTGGGGGTAAAATGGTTGTATTTATTATTTATTATTTTTAACTAGTACTCACACAAAATATGCTTCGATACATAATTATTAAAATTATATATCAAAATTTACTTGCATTGGTTAAGACATGGAGAAAATCATTGTAAAACTTAAAAATATAAAAATCTGATTTTGTTACTTTATAATTTAGCAAATTTAATTACAGTAAGAAAAAACAATCACTCAATAACAAAAATAATCAATCCTAAACTTAATCGTGCTAAAGTTAATAAGTGATTATGTGAAAATTTAAGGTAGTTTTGTCTATACATATAAATAACTTAAGTAAGTTGATAGTTGACCATTTTTAAATCGGTTGTGAATTAATCCGTCAAATTTTATCATTTAAGCAATTCAATTCAACTCAACTCATCTCATTTATCTTCTCAAACTGTATGAGTTAATTTCGGTCATAGGTTCACAGATTAACATCTTTTTTTTTTTCACACCTCCACTTCTAATTTTTTTTTTTCATTTTTAGATAGGATCCACTTCTTATCTTTGTTTTCATTTTTATTTGCACCATATGTAAATGTAAATGGTTTAAATTTTGCACTGTTTAAATATGACCTCAGAGAGAGAGAGAGAGAATTTTAAGTATAAAGTTGCTTACTTGCCTACTCTCATGAGGTAAGCACGGGAGTTGCTTCATTAACCTCAAAAAAACGGAAAGTCTTATGTTGGAGAGATCAGCAATTTATATACAAGAAAAAAATTATAAATTTACTTAAAAGCATTTTTTTTAATTGATGAAATTTGAACATTAGTATCCATTTCACAATGTCATCTCCCAATGTTATTTATTCTATGATAAATTATACTAATCTATCATGATATCTGGATAAAATACAGTAAATTTTATAAATTTGATATAATTACAATAGACACCTTAATGTTTTGATTCACATAACACTTAATTTTATTTTCATCAGTAATTTGTTATTTATATAGATGAAGAAGAAATGATATTATTATTTCTTTTACATCAAAAATTATATTATATTTTATTTATTTTTATGTCTTCACATAATCTTATATAATTTTTGACCCGTGACGATTCCAGAATTTTTTATAGGTGGAGTTACCCCTACAAACTTAACTTTCATATATATTCAATAAAAAAACAATTTAAACTAAATAAATATTACTCTTTTTTTTGGTATTTAGTAATTTTTTACCAAAAAAATAATTTCTTTTTAGATGTATCTTAATTAAATGGATCTAAAAATTTTAAAAGTTCATTAAAGATATAAAAAATACAAAAACTCAAAAATTATTTTTAAAAAATTGTTCACCAATAAGAGTGATTTAAATTTCTCAAACAATAGATTTCTAATGACAAGAAAAATACACAAACATAAATTTGCCTTTTTTGGTTTGTGTTTGTAAGGTGTGTTTGGTTTGTGTTTGTAGAGTAGTTTGGTTTGTGTTTGTAGAGTATATAAGGGTGTGTTTGGTTTGTGTTTGTAGAGTAGTTTTTGAGATAAAAAGTACGAAAACTTATTTAGTTTGTCTTTTTTCAGAAATAGTTTTGACAAATTATTTTGGGGAGAGAGTTTTAAAAAAAGTAATTGATTTGATGTGTATGAGAGAGAGTGTGATTTTAGAAAGTAAGTAACTAAACAAAATTTTGAAATTTTTTTTGAAAAAATTTGTTTGGTTTGATTGCTCTTGAAAATTTGTTTGTAGAGAATTTTTCTCAAAAACAAACCAAACATAGCCAAAATTATTTGTTGATATTTACCATATATTTCCTTTTGTAACTATTCATTGTAACTAATAAATATTAAATGTAACAGTGATATTATGTTATGATGGTATATATTCAACACCAATCTTGATTTTTGATAGGAATAACAAAACCGTGGGAGAAATTTAAGATGGAAACTGGATTTTCAGGGTAGAAGCGTGGTGAAGAAGAACCGAACCAGTGGCTGCTGAAGAAGAACCAAAGAAGGAGGTAGCAGCAGCAAAAAAGGAGGCACCAGTAGCAGTTCCGACAGAGGTCGAAGTCGAGAGCAAGGAATTTGTTGACTCACGGAGGAGAAACCAGCAGGTATTGAAGTCACAGGTGGTTCTCGGTAGCAACCTGAGTGTCCGGCAGCAGTGATACAGACTCAAGCGTGGAGAGCAATGCGTAGTGACAGCAGCCCAGTCGAGAGCAAGGCGTGGGTGTTCGGCAATGGTGGTTCGAGACGGGTAGTTCTCGACGGCAATAAAGCCTGTGTATCCGGCAATTATGGAGGTTGAGTGTCCAAGAAAGTCAGGCGTGGGGCAGTTCGACAATGGTGCAGGGTGTAAGAACATGTTGCTCAAGAGTGTATAAATTGTCTTAGTCAGACGTGGGGTGTATAGCTGTGTGTTAGGTGTTGAAAAATCAATAATTTTAAAATGAGAGTTTGAAACTCTTCGGAGGCTTCTTATTATAAATCACCTTTTACTTATATAATATATAGAAGATAGGCAAATATAAATACAAATACAAAAAAAAACATAAAAAAATACATGGCATTAAAAAAAAAAAAAAAAACTACCGGGAAATTTACAACCATTATTAGCACTTTTTTTTGGTGCAGTTTGTTACAAGAAAACAGAAACTTAAAACACTTTTCTTCTTACTTTTCAATAATTATTTTTTTTTCTAACTTATCTAAGTTATATTACTTCATAAGTTATTTTTACTTTATAGGTTGTAAATAAAAGTTACAGTAAACACATTGACATAAATTTTTAATTTTTAATACCTTGATGGGTCTGGGACCCATCATCACCCAACACATGGCGTCCCCTCTGCTTTTGACTCTTTAGTCTTTCGACCCAAAAATAAAAAAATAAAAAAAATAAATAAATAATTCGGTGTAATTACGTTAAAAGGGTAGAATTTTCTCTAAACTTCGGGTATATGTCTCCATTTTATATGATTCTTTTTAAATTAATTGAAGGGTATTTTGATAATCAAATAAAAAGTCAATTTTTAATTTTTTACCAATTTTAAATCACATCACCTCTCATATTTTTTATTTATAAGAAGACAAAATA